TTTGTAGCCGGCATCCCCTTGTAGGACACTATGTGACCAGACGACTTCGGCTATTTCGGAAGTTAGTACTGCATAAAAACAGCCTGCGATCAGCACACAGCTGAAGCAATCGTTCCCCATTGCCCGTACGTGCCGAGTCCAGTCCATGTCGATCTCCTAATTGAGTCTCAGATGCACTGAGCCTGCCCACTTGCGCATTCATATCTCCGGCAACCACCACAATGTCTGAGCTTTTAGCTCGCCGCAGCAGAGCATTCAGGGCGTCGTAAAACCTGTCTTTGACGGTGTCAGAGCTACAATCAGTTGGGGCATAGGCAGACACGATAAACAGACATCTATCAACTTGCCGCTTGTGAGACTCCTTCACAGACGTTGCCAGACGAACCGCACAGAGGCGACTATCAACAGGTATCCACTCAAGTAAGGATACTTCCACCCGGTGACTTACCACAATAGCAACCCCTGCACATCCCACCGCGGCAGCCTCTAGATCACCAGAGATGCGCAGCAGAAAGCGTTTAGCTCACTCACTGTGCTTGCATCTTGAAGTCTAGTTTCTGAGACACAGTACACATCAATGCCAAGCGAGTCCAGTGTGAGTGCAAGAGCAGCTTGTTGTCCTGCTTGCTTCAGAGTGCGGACATTAAACGCGGCCAGATAGACTCGGTGTCGAGGCTTGAGGACTGATCTGGAGATGCCTGAAGATGTCGGCGCCATGTGACGAGCAGGTGCTGCACGGCACGCACTGAGATGTATCGCTTAACGTTTCGGTCATTTCTCTAACCATATGGAAAACACGGTGCAGAATAAAAGTTGTATTTTGCTTCAAATGGTGTCCTGATATTAAAATCCAGAACGCCAGCCAGTTGTACCTCCCCAAAGCTTGAAGGGAAATCATGTCAACCAATTGTCCGCCTGTTCAACCCACCGCCTAGCTCAAAACCTTGGCATACGTCATTTCAGTATAATTCGACTAAATATTTCCAACATTGCTCAAGCTGTTCGCACTGAATTCACTGTATATCTTCCAAAAAGTACAACTTAGTTTATTTCAATCAAAAAACCCATTTGCCTGTGCATCGACGCTGATCCCTTTTTCCAGCCATTGATGCAACTAGCCATGGATCAAACCTGGGAGCGAATAACTTTACACTTCACACTTAACTACTTGCAGAAATACTAGTAGACAAAAACTTACTGCCCGAGTAAAATTAATCACAAAGAAGCCGTCGCCATGTCTGGCAATCTGTCCACTGCTCCGCCAAGTGTGGTCCGTTGTTTGCACCAAGTAAGTCATAATCCAAAAGATGAACTGATATCGTCTGGCGAGGGTAATTTCAAACTTACGTGACATTTCTTCAAGGCCGGCTTGAAATTCCAGCGGAGATGGGGTGTATGATCCGCATGATTCCAGTTTTGTTCTGGTATTATAGTGGATTAGGCGTGCCTGTTCTCGTAACCTCATGTGATTCGGGCCACTGATACATTCAGTTTCATCGGGTAATCGATCGACCCACTGAATTGGACAACAGTTGATTCCGTCGGATCGAAATATCTGGATGTTCCATTCGCATCTCAACCGATGATACAACTGAATATATTTACTCATCACTTGACTGATCACTTTCTGATGGAGAAAAAAGACGGGTATCACGTGACGTCCCAACATGAACATGATTTGAAAATCGTCGCAACATGATCGGATCGATAACGGTTCAAATTAGTGCCTGAAGTGTATTTAAACAGTCATATTGTTGGCTGACTTCTCAGTCATTCTAAAGAAAAAAATGCAACGAAATTTGGCATGTATGCATGCTCCTGTATACAGAACGAATGGTTTGTTTGAACGGAACACAACTAGGAAAAATCATCCTAAGTACTACACCGTTTGAACAAACTGCAAGACAAATAGCGACTTCGGACTTAAACCACGGGTGGTGTGCCACTCTTTGGCATGTTGTAGATCCGCTTCACGGTGCTACACGGAATCTGGACGCTGCATACGCGACTGCTCCATCAGGTGCGAGGTTATCAACAACTTGTTTGGCGCATGGAATGATGCTATTTCGACGTAAACGGAGCAAACACTGAGCTTCAAATAATGCGGATAGATTAAGCACAATGTCACAGGAGGTCAACAGAAAATTGAACAAAAGCCATCGGGATACCAAACCTGAGGGAAAGCGGAAAAGAGAGCGCAATGCAACTAGATGGATGTCTGACGATACCGAATGCATGGCTTATGTGTTCTGAAGATTCAGATGATGATTCTCTGAAAGCTAAAAGGTCTGCCAGGTTGGATCCCACCAGTCAGCAGTGGTGACCACACTTGTTATGGAATGGTTGCGGGCATGTTCAAAAGCGAAGTTTCAAGGTCACAAATAGCATCAACAGTAATTGAGACCATAAAAAACGTAAAATCTATTGAAAAGCCAATTTCATCTGAGTGGCCCCAAAAACGACACAATAAAATACATCAAGCAAGGAGTCCACTGCACTTCCAAACTTTGTAATTTTTCGATTTTTTTTTGAGAATGCATGACTTTTATTGTTTGAAGATGTTGTTCATCCACTGTAGTAAATTTCTCAGTGGGTTCGGATAATACCTGTTCTCTCTCGAAACGCTCAAATTTTGTAGTGTATATTTCTAAAATTACACTTTCAAACAAGTTTTGGCAGTTGGATGTAAAACTGTATGATTGTTGAACAGAGACGCTCTGCAGTAAGCTTGTAATCTCACTTTCCATGTTCTGTCACAAATTTTCGTTTTAAACTGTCTCTGGTGGATGGTTCAAGGCATTTGAACCTCCAAACTGTGCCATTCTAAAAGAATGTCACTTAGATGAAGGGAGGAATGGTTGCTTACTAGCCACGATTCATTCTTCTTTCAGCAGTCAGCTAATTCCAGAATGGACCAGATAGTCACCTGTTAGTAGACGGTCCCTTTTTGAATGAGGCAGTGTTGATCAATATAACACTCAACGGACTGCATACGTTGTGTGAGAACATCGACATACCGTGCCAAGCGGCGGGTTGTTCTGGCCGGAAAGGATACGTTCTATTAAAAGAAGAATGTGGCTCGGAGGAATGAGCTTACTACAAAATGGGAACGAAGTTGTATCCGCATGAGACTAGACCTAATATCGCAAATAGTTGCGTCACTGTGCCTCAGGTTATCAGAGTGATTTCTAAGAAAAACCAGTAAGCAGTCCAAGAACAATCCGGGGACCTGCTGATTAACTCTTTCTCTGAATCCTGAAAGCCTTCCCTAAAAAGCCCGAATTTGCTATTCCTGACTGATGGGCGCTGTACAAGACTCTGCTAAAAGTTGAGGCGCCTGTGGTAATCCTTGTAGGAGAGTTTTGCTCAATCTTTTGTCAGAAGGAAACCAGTACATTTATTGTCATGTTTATTCTGACCAGTGTAACAAAACAAATCAAATAAGGCGCAACAGACTATGTATTTCTGAATGTAGCTTACTCATCCGGATTCAATTTTAAGCAATCCTATTCAATATTTTAGTGCTTGTGCAAGAACAACAAAGTATTCAGCAAATATAATCGTTTGCTGATTCTCAAAGGGGAGCAAATCAGATCCCAGCTGAATCCCTCGTTTATCACGGATGGCTCCTTGCAGCTGAATGTGGTGCACCGGGCCGCATTTGAAATATCGCGATGCACTATGCGAGTGTAACGCACTACTCATGAGGTTGCTGAGAACTTTGAGATAGCACAACCGGTTTCGCCCTTGTTGGAACTCATCGTGGGCTTTCAGAGGCCTCAGAAATCTTATGAGTAGTGCAGAACATCTATAAAATGTATTGCAATACCCTGAAAATTGTACAAACTTAAATCTCAGACGGATTCATTTGTTGAAGAACATCACAAGCGGGAAATTCAACTGGGATTCTGGTGAATCTCAACGAAAACCCAGTTGATATGCAAATGAACGTTTTATTGAAGTTCGTTTAATTTAGGTTCAAGTCAAGCATAATACTGATGCCCACACTCCGGCACAATGCTCAACTGCGAAACTGACTGCGGGCTGTGGAACAGATTTCTATAAAATGTTTGCAATACCCTGAAAATTATACAAACTTAAATCTCAGACGGATTCATTTGTTGAAGAACATCACAAGCGGGAAATTCAACTGGGATTCTGGTGAATCTCAACGAAAACCCAGTTGATATGCAAATGAACGTTTTATTGAAGTTCGTTTAATTTAGGTTCAAGTCAAGCATAATACTGATGCCCACACTCCGGCACAATGCTCAACTGCTCAACTGACTGCGGGCTGTGGAACAGATTTCAGCAATCTTATGAGCAGTTCGTTAAGTCAAAATTTTGTTTTGGCTTTCCGTGCTGACTTGCCGGTCGACCAAAATACGGCTCTTGGAGACACTTACTTAACTTAGGTAGACAACTATGCATTCGCAGAATTGTTTTACAAAAAAATTCCATTCTCACCTGTTCACCTGCTGGAAGGAAGCCCCATTCGTTAACTTCTTTCAAGACTTCCTGTCGCCATAACTGCCACCAGTTTATCCGGCGAAGTTCTGCGAGGTCCATTAACAAAACATCGGTGTTGATGCCGAATGTCTGTCGGTAAAAAAACACCCGCGCGATAATTGCACATCTTGAAGTAAGTTTTTTAAATTGTGTTCCCTTCCCTCCCAAGTATAAACCATCTGATTTTCTGCAAGAAACGCTCTCTGTTTAGGGGGGTTCAGTGAATCGACTTGTCAAACTTTAGTTTGAGGTTACACGGAACGTATCATCTGAAGTATGTTGTTTGTAATTCAGTTCTAAGCTTGTGATCCTCGCTTTTTGATAAGAAGAAACATCCATTTTGAAGTAAGCTTAAGCTATCTGAATCCCACCTGGAGACATTAAATATCGGACCATAATATACTTTCGTTTTTTTCAAAATATCAGCGTGAGTTTTGTCCTTTGAAAACGGTACTATCCGCAATTGACTTACGATAGGGAACACCCGATGTTTTGCGGATAGGCGCCTGGACCGCGCATTCGCGGATGCGCCTCCTCTTCGGCCAAAGATTCTCAGTGGAGACACCTTGCCTGGGGCGAGGCGACCGATATTGACCCACCCACCGGGATGCAAGATTTAATCAGCGGGCCAAATCAAACCTTACTTAAGTGTAACAGTCGAAGGAGACTGCAGTTTGCCAGGGTTATACTCAACTAACAACACTTTGTGGTCAATAATACAGAGAAAAATCTAACCGTTTTAGACAGATTCTGGTGGCATTGGAAGAGATCTTTTTAACACTGTTCAACACAAGGAGCTGTTTGAACAAGTATGCTACTGACAAAACGTGCGAGTAGTATCCAGTCAACTGACTTAAAGCGCAGTCCTTGCATGTGATGGAAGGTTGGTTTGGAAATCACCGAAATGCTTTTCAACGTTTGTGTACCACAGCTGACGTTGAGTAAAGTTCAGGAGGATATCTGAACATGTTGAGGTTTTTCCTGACGTGTCAGATGGCTTGTTGCCGCTCGGTTCCTGTTGGTCGGTAGGCAACCTCCCTCCCAGAAATTTTTTCCCTTTCACCTTCGGAGAACTGCCAGACAGCTGGTTAGCAGTGATGGCAGAGTAGAAAGGAGTGCAGATTAGAAATTTTGTCCACCATGCAACCTAAGCAGTAAGGTGCCTTTCTTGAGAGTCCGAGGCTTTGAATGTAGTGTTTCATGAGAACTGTGGTCGAACTGAGATGGGCATTTAAGACAGAATCACCCTTTTTGCTAGTCAGATTTGGGACAAAATTATGGAAAAATAGGTTTGCTCAAAGTTGTTTGAATTTGAGTGCGTACAATTAAGCGTCCACTGTGAAAACTTGAGGCTTTGACCTTTTCGAAAAAACGTGAGTAACAGCCCACTGGTGTATATTAAGGAAAGTTTAAGGTGAAAACAGCTGAGTGGAATATAAAGTGCCATAATCGAAAGATTAGGTTACTTTCAATCAATTGGAAAATGTTTGGGACCGATTGAGAAGTCATCGTTTCAGAGAGGTTTGGTAAACAATCAGTGGATTTATTCCTGGACAAAGTTTCGCTTTTTGACACAAAAGCTTCGTCAGGCCTACTGAGAAAGTAAGTAGGTTGATTGGGTTTTAAGGCAGTCAGGTAATCGATTCCGTGAGATTTCTTATGGCTAGCCGACTTGATCATGTCAATCATCCCCAATAACCAACAAACAGGAACATCAGACTGAACGCCCAGCAATGATCACGTCACTAGTCATAAGGAATCTCCCGGATTGGTTCCCTGACTGCCTTAAAACCCAATCAACCTACTTACTTACTCAGTTGGCCTGACGAAGCTTTTGTGTCAAAAGCGAAACACTGCCCAGCAATAAATCCACCGATTGTTTACCAGACCTCTCTGATTCGGTTACTTTGTTTCGGCTTCCCACTATAGCCCATCAAAATTAATCAGAACAGATTTACTACTTCTACAACCACATAGAATCGTCAAGGGGGTGTCATGGAAGCGACTGACAACTTACCGGGAACGGTAAATCTTCTTTTGGGCATGAATACGGACAAAATGTTACTTGTTCACAAACCGCACCGAATGCCTGCAATGAGAACGAATTGCGTAAGATACGTAACAGCTCGTTGTCCGTCCACTTTCTTCAGGGATTCTCAATGAAAACTGTCAACAGCCGTGTCTTCGGACAAATACATTAATTTTGTCTGAGGTGACATAGAACAATGGCTACTGAATCGCCAAAATTAAATTCCTCTCTTGAATTTGAACCACCACATATGACAGTGGTTTAACGGTACACTCAACTGCTAGTGTAACAACCCAGTCACCCACATACTTGACTGTTCAGCTCACAGTGGCTCACTGGATCACGAGGCTTGTCTTTTTTTCATACTCACAAACCACGTCACATTAAGGTGACTCATCGGACATCGATTGGCTGTCTAGTGAGCGTAGCAACCACTCATGTGTTGACGCGCCCACGTACACGCAAACGGACCTACATGTAGGGAAACCG